TCCTCACCTCAGCTCTTGCCCAGCTGCACTCCCCTGCCTCCAGGTTCCCCCTACACAGAATGCAGGGAGGCAGGAGATAGTGCAAAACTTTATTAAGCATCTCATGCTTAATAAAGCTAGCTGGGCATGGGCCTGTCATGCCAAAGAATGTGTCAGTGCCAATGGCGATGTCCTCCTCAGTTGTGGGAGGCAGACCCATGTAGCGCAGCCACAGGTAGCTTTCCAGGTGGTGGTGGAAGCTGCAGAGCAGCCCAGGCTTGTCCCCTCTCCCCCACACCATTGAAGCTCAGAGTCCCATGCCAGTTGCACAGGTGTACCTGGGGTACCATGGTGAGCAGCAGCAGCAGGATGTAGTGGGTTGGGCACCCCTCGGTCCATGCAAACAGCTCCTTGTGCAGTGCCCAGGACATGCGCAGCAGAGGCATGCTGAGTGAACAGCACTGCCACAGTGGGGGCTGCCCCTGGGGTGTGTCCCTGGAGAAGCCTCCTGCAGGGAGGGCAGAGGTGTGGGCAGCTCCTCATCCTAGTTGTCTGGTAGCCCTGCACTGTGGGCTTGGTGGCAGCAGCAGGCCCCTCCATGGACCTGGGTGGAGGTCCAGAGGCACCTCCACCAGCCAAGAACCCCTGCCTTGGACCCTGCCCCAGGTCCCTCACCACCCAGCCCCACCTCCTGGGCCCAGGCTCACCACTCATTTCAGCTCCACATTGGCATGGAGCCAAAGCTACCTGCAGTGGGGCCAGGACTACATGCTGGCTCTGGAAACCAGCTGCTGGAGTTGGAGCCGCCCATGGTGAGGGTGACTGTCCGCTGTTGCCCAAGGAGGAGCCCCCCACCCACCAGGCCTGCTGTGGCATGTGAACCCACAGGGGAATGGCCAGAAGCTGTGGTGCTGGCCAACTGTCTCTGGGCTCTGCCCTCTAGGTGCCCCCACCCCACAGTTTCCTACCCTGGGATGATATACAAAATACATTGTAAGTAGTTTGCATGGAGAAGAGGGTGCTTTATTATTGGTGGGTGGGGTGGGTGTTGAAGGGGCTCTGTTGTGGTGTGGGAGGGAGAGTGGGGCTCTGTTTATTGAAGGGGGAAGGGGGAGCCTGTTTGATGCGAGGGGAATAAAAACTGTTGTTCCTCTGAGATGTGTCTGCAGTCAGCATGGTGCTGGGGGTGGGCAAGGAGGGTGGGGACATCCATGGGAGGCTGTCCAGGTGGGCTACAACAGGGAGTGCAGGAGGAGGTGATCAGCCAGTCCTTCTCACACCTGGTGCCCTGGCCCCCGGGGCCTGGTGTGTGGCTCACTTGAGGCCTTGGTGGGGCGGGGGATCCACTGCTGTTGCTGCTGCTGCTACTGCTCCTGCTGCCAAGTGTCCTTCACCCACCGTGCCTTCTACACCCAGACCTCATAGAAGAACTCTTCCAAGGCCCCACAGATATTATGCAGCATGCAGGCTGTGATGATGACCTGGGGGAAGTTGTCCTCAACGAACTCCAGGTGGGCAGTGAGGGTGTGCCAGTGTCTTTTTTAGTGGCTAAGGTGAATTCCACCAAGGCCCAAGCCCAGCCCAGGCACTGGTTAAAGTGGGTCCGGGTGGGGTTCAGCTGGCCAGTGTAGGTCCATGTGAACCAGGGCAGGAGTGTGTAGGTGGGGTCCCCGATGAGGAGGGGCAGGACCACCATGGCACCCAGCTGCAGGTCTGGCACCCCCTGCACAAAGCAGCTGCTTTGCACCAGAGCGGAGTTGCGAAACACATGGACATTCTGGACACTGCCCGCCCAGCTGGCACTCAAATTTGTGAAGGCACTGTAGTGGTCAACAATGGCTTGGAGCACAATAGAGTGAAAGCCCCTCTGGCTATAGTGGTCACCATGGGGTGGGCAAGTGATGGGAATGCGGGTCCCATCCAGGGCCCCAATGCACTGGGGGAATGCCAGGGCACAGAACCCCGCCACCACCATCAGGGGGTCATGCACCTGGAGCATCATGTGCCCCAGCACATCCTGGAGGGTGCCACACACCTCCAGAACATTCTCCCCCACAGTGGCCTTGCCCATGCCAAGGAGATGCCCCACATAGCGGAGGCTCATGGGCATAACCAGCTTCATCACAGCAAGGGCCAGGTGAGTGTCCCCAGGGATGGGTGGCCACATGGCAGTGTCCTGCCACTCCAGGTGTGGCCAGAGCTTCTCCAGGAGGTCCCAGTAGGTGGCCTGGGTCATGTGAAAGGCTTCCAGCCACAGCTCATTGTCCCAGGTCTGCTGGATAACTTGCAGCCACCAATCTTAGCTGGCCTGGCAGGCCCAGAGGCAGTGGGGCTGGAGGCCCAGAAGAGTGAGGGTAGCTCCAGCAGTGACATCCAGCAGCCCATCATTGGCATCCCTGCTGGGGTCCGGCTAGCTGGATGGGGTCTAGGCAGCAGCTGTGCAGTGGCAGCTGCCCTGGGACAGCATGCTGTGGCTAGGCAGGCAGTCACTGTGTGTGGGGAAGCCAGGACGGCCCAGATGGCCATTGGCCAGCTGGAGGTTGGCATGGCGAGCCAGCAGGACCAGTGTGGTGGCCATCAGGAGCCTGGGGCCACTGCTGATCATCGCTGCCAGGGGCAGGGACTGGAGCAGCCATGGCACAGGAAGCTGGAGGCAGTGAGGAGAAAGCTGTTGTGTCCTGCCCCTGCACTGAGCACACTGCGCCTGGCCAGAGAAGTGGCTGGCCAGGGACCAGAGCACGGGGCTGCTTTTTCCAGATGGCTGCCAGCTGCTGGCGGCTGCAGCTAGAGCCTCAAGCTCCCCCTGATGGCAGCCGGAGACCATTGCAGGGCCACAGGAACTGGCACCTGTTTGCTGCCAAGAGCAGCAAATCTGCTGCCATGTCCCTGCGTGTGTAGACGCCTGTGTGGGAGCAATTACTCACAAATAGTTTACTTGCAAGGAAACTGATCTCAGATCAGATCCATGTGTAGATGCATCCAGTATCTGTAGATCCATATGTAGATGCATCCAGTATCAATGGCAGCATTATCCTGAGTAATAAACCCTACAGTTAAAGCTGTGAGGATTTCGTATTTTATTCTGTTAAATTTTCCTCCTGAGAGCAAGCTTAAAGAATACCACAAAGCTGAAAGAACCACAGGGGGTAATGATGTATTGAAGTCCTCTGACATCCTCAGTTTGGACAGAATAGAAAAATGGGCAAGATGAGCTAGTGGTGCACATCATAAACATGCAGCTGTAGGTGCATAGCTGTGTCATCTGCCATCAGAGAGCATTCTGTGGTGGCATCACCAGCTGCGGCGTCTACCGAGAGAGCTCACATGTTATACCGAGTGTTTTGTAGAGGCCACCTGCTGGTCGGTATGCACTTTTACAAAGCGAGAGAAATGGGGCTGTCACTTCTGGAGGTGGTCTTGGCATGAGATGGTGCCTGTGATCTACAACACATTCCATATCTAGAATTACGTATATAGTTGTCTGCTGAGGTTTTTTGTTCTTGCTTTTGACTACAAATTGATGCTTGCTGCATCTATCTGTTGCAGTTTTCCTCGATAAAAAAGATGTTTATGACGACAACTTTTACAAGTCTGGGAAATGAGAAAAAACATAAAAAGAGCTAAAGACGTGAATAAAAATGCTTCCTCATTGCCACCCACATTCTTCTGGAATTACTTAATCGCATATGTAGCTTTATTTATCATTAACCTATGAAAAATATAGCATATGTTTCCCAACTTCAACTCTGCCTTCTGGTGACACCAGGAGAAGAAAAATGACATGGAAACATAAATGTATCTTTAAATACAAGTTTCCTCTTATATCTGGGACCAAAGACACTCAAATTCTATAGTTAAATTGTTGAATGTTAGTGTTAAGGTTGCTTGCATTTCCATATCTTAACATGCTTGGGAAATTTTGAAATATAATCTTAAACTGGAATTTCCTGGCTTTGTAATACTTGGTTTTAGAACAGACGCAAGTTGCCATCAGCGTGTTTTGCTCTTAAGTTACAGAGATGATCATCAACACAAACTCCATTCTAATATTCTGTATCCTTTTGCAGATATTGTTCGTCATGCATATTGTGCAGGAAAGAAGTTTAATATTTCCTAAGAAGTGGATAATTTACTGCTTGTTAACAGGTGTTATGCTGACAATGCTGCTGTCTGACACCTTCACAGTAATTGGCCCAGCAAGTACTGGGTGGCATGAATCTATGAAACCTCAGTTCATGCTTCCCAGTACTGTCCCACTAAGGTGTCTGAACCCTACTCTGAAGAGACATTTCATGACTAAGGAGGTATTCATTATCCATAGTCCACTCAGTCCTTGGAGTGTACTGAGATTTATAAAAAAAGTTTCCATATTAAAAATGCTCCTGTCTGATCTACCTTGGTGCCTGGGACGTGACTATTAGAGAGAAAGCTTCCGAGGAGCATTTTGAGAGCCACTGTAGCACCATCTCTGACTTGAGTCTTCTGGAGCATGAATAACTTTGTGGGATGGCGAGTCCCGTTAGTCACTAGAACGGAGCACAGCAGGTAGGATGGAGGACTAGCAGCTAGGCACATCTCTTGTCTTAGAGCAGAGGATGCAATGATTAAGTGAATGCTACAGAAGACTGTTTTACATGGGGAATCTGCTAATTTTATTGACCTTTCTCCAAAGTCCAAATGGGATATTCCACTGTAATAGAAACAAAATTTACCTCCATTTTTAAAATTTCATTTTGGAAAGGAATTCTGTGCTCATCAAACCAGCTTTGTCCCCTTTTGGCCATGCAACAGTATTTCTGTCTTTTTGCTTTTCTTTTCCTGGTGGCAATATTGCCTGATAGATTCAAACAGACACGAAAGCCTAACTTCATAAAAGTCTTAATTTTGTAAAATATACTTTGCAATTCAGAGAAAACAGCTATTTAGAAGGAACCCAGTGTTCACAGGTAGGCAGAAATATATTTGTTGTCAAACTATGACGTTTATTTTTTTTTCCTTATCTGTATTCATTCTTTTTTTAGTCAGGTTTGATAAGGACACGGGAGAATGAATTCCTTATATCTCCATTACCTCAGCACCTAGCACAGGAACATAATTATACAGCACCCGCTGGACATCATCCTCATGTCTTATACAAACGGACAGCAGAAGAGAAAGTGCACCGGTACAAAGTATCTTCCAGCCCCAATCACTTTTCCCCTGGTCATCACAGAAATCACACTTACTCCAAGTATCATGGTCAGGCGAATGATTACCACCCTGGAAGGTTTCAAAAGCAGCATTTTTGTGGACGTCGCAAGAAATGTATGTAAGGAAACTTTCTCTCTTTGCTTGCGATAGTAGTTCTTAGAGACATTGAGGTGCTACTTTTAGTGGTTTGCAACCAGTGCTGTGATGGGGACTGAAACACTTGGCATGGATAAAAGGAGCTGGAGTAGGCATTTGAATGTATGATGCTGTCCATCTCTGTTATTACCAGACCTCTACCAGCCGGTGACTGGGTTGCTTAGGAATTTGCTGCATCGGGTGAAGGACCACTTGTTTTGATTTTGCTGAGGCTGATACAGCTTTAAATGAAGCATCCCCTTTCATGTTCTGGCTTTAAAACTGCCTCTTTGTCACAGTTTCCAATGCCAAGTCCCTGCTCTATTTACTTCCAGTTTTGGTATATGCAACTACACCTGAAGGTGAAAAAAACCACATTAAAAACATTATTGTGGAAGAGGAGAGGGAATACGTTTCTCACAATTTACCATTTCATAGTGAAGTTCTTAGCAAGCAAGATCTTCAGAAAGAGCATCCCTAGTAAATTATTTAAATGAACTTCTTCAGAAGGTATTGAAGTGGTATTATTCTGCCAAGGTCCATGCTGAGGTCTTCGCTAGACCCTCAACGTTAGACTCTAGAGCTTTGAAGAGCCCCCGAGGATCTTATGGCTATCCTTACTATATTTATCTGGAAGCTGACCTGCCTCTGGTTACAGCTTCTTATCTAGAGCCCCAAGAAAAAGCATACACTTATCAATAACAATCTCTCAGCTAAAATGTGTCCCTTCAACTTCTTACTTAATTCTGGGACAATAGGAAGGTCTCAGTTGCAAAAGTTGCAGGATAGGAGGAGATGAACTCTGAGGAAGGGAAGAGAAAGTTGGGGGAGAGAAAGTTGGGGGATGGATACTTGATTCTATTCTAGAGGGCTCTTGACCTGCCTGAACACAATCCCCTTTAAGCTTGACATGTCTTTATATTTTTAGTTCCTCATGTTTTCCATCAGTATTTCAGCTCTCTCTCCTGCATATTTCACCTAAATCCTCCATAGTTTAAGAAGCACCACTATGCAATTCCAGTATGAAGTGCAAGTTGTCCTCTTTCATACCAGTTTTTAAATTGCTGGGCATTGAATAGCAACCAAGGGGGACTGCTTCAGAAATGCAGCTGAAAGAATACTTCAGTAGCTTGTGGTCTTCTCTTTCATGACGATCATTATTTTTTAAAACTTTACTTAAAACACTTAGGATATTGATAGTGCAAATAGATTCAGGGGCAAGCAATTATTTTGGGTGGAGGGCTGCTTACTGAGATTCAGGGGCAAGCCATTGAGGGCCACATGACAGGCAGTCTGGGGCAGATAAATATTAATTTTCTAAATTTTTTATGGGCCCCACGGGCCAGATAGAATGGCTTGGCGGGCCGCATCCAGCCCATGGGCCACATTTTGCCCACCCTTGTAATAGATGATAGAGGGCAGACTCTTCCAAGTTACTTCTAGCTAGCTGTCTACATGTATATATATTATCTGGTCCCTGTCACCAAAATATCCAAGCACCTCACAATCCTTAATGTTATTTATCCTCATAGCACCCCACTACTCTTCTTGCAATTTTACAGATGGGGAAGCAAGATATAAGAGCCTTAGTGAATTGCCCAGGGTTACACAGGAAGTCCTGGAGGAAATAGGGTGTTGAATATCAGTCTCATAAGTGCCAGGCTACCACCCTAACTGCTAGACCATCAATCCTTCCTGTCAGGGAGTGAAAGAGAACATTCCTTCTACTTTCAAAGGTGCTAGAAACATAGCATTGGTAGTTCAAATATATGGTTAACTGGAGTTTGAACGTAAACATGATCCTTTACTAATTTGTATCTAACATGGCACTGAAGGAGGAAGGTGGTACTGCACGGGGGTTACAGTCAGTGTGCAGGTAAGTATTTGCTGATTTTTACCAGGTGCCTTGACCTTGTGTATAAAAGGAGTGGTTTCTCTACCCTTTTCGTGCTAGAACCTGCAGCCCCACTTACTAGGATACAACCATTTACTGATTTCTGCTTTAACAATACGGGAAGGAGAAGGGCATCCCAAATCTCGAGTGCTTGTTTGTTACTCTAGGTTGAGCACTCGTATGTTAAACATGTAACTTCAAACTTTTGGTTGTGATAAGGTGTGCTCTAACCATTGTTTCAAGCAGAAGGCATTGCAAAAATGGTAACTTCAGTAATGCTACCTGGAGGAATAAGGGTTTCAGGGTCAGGAACGTTTATATAGATTACACATATGGGTTTATATAAACACATAGAAAGTCATGTCTATTAAACTATGTTAAAAGAGTATTATTCAAAAGTTAAGAAATACCAGAACAAAGATTGCTGAGGAATTTTAATTCAGCCCCACAAACATATACATTATGATGCAGTCTTTAATTACTTCATCAGATACTGTTTTTACCTCCCAGAACACCTGCCTCTTTCAGACCACAGGAAATGTGGTGCTTACTTAATGAGCAGCTATGCACTGTTTTATTTCATCTTCATTCTCCAATGTGTGGCCCCATGCCTTATTTGCTGCATATTATTCGTACGCTTATCTGAATATAGGATGATTAATGTCTTCTAGGGCTTTCGGGTGATGCTCATCACTACAGGAAGCATGTCCTTTGGGGAATGCTGTGTGACCCTAGCTGTAAGAGATACTATCAGCTGTGTCTTGTGAGGGTGAATTGTAGCAATTCAAACCCAGACTTGATCCATTTCTGCAAAACAGCATGGAAGCTTATCCCTAGCTTATCCCTGGAAGATATATGAACCCGCAGTACGTAAGCATCACTAGAGCCAGTCAGCCGTATTTGATACTACTTAGCATAGCATCATTGTTACAGGGATTGAGAGTTGAACATATCATGTCCAGTAAGCCATCATAAAGGTGAGAAGTGCTATTGCTCCTTAATCATTAGTAGCAGTAGTGAAACAGTTGCAAAGGAGAAGGTGAATCTAAGGGAACATTGCTGTTGGATCAACCTATAATTCCGGTAAATATAAAAGAGACATTTTATGAATCAAGAGGCAGCAAGTCTTACAGCCTTCTAGACAAGGCACCACTATATGTTGGAAATAGACCACGCACGTGATTGTTTGGGTGGATGCGTGTCTTGACAGGATAATACTTTTTAATGAATTTTACTGCAAAAAAAGTCTTTTATACACTCCATTTACACTTTTAAATATAGTTTAGAATAACAGAATTCTTGCAAGTAAGTCAGCAGGAACATTGCATTGTTACAACTTGCAGCTGCTAAATCCCTGCACACTGGGGCCTGCAGCATGTTTTGTGAAGAGCTGTGGTCTCCTTTGATGTAAAGGAGAGAGAAA